CAATAATGATAGATCTAAGACTTTCGAGTGTCTAACTCACAGGCTACCTGGCAAGGCTATTATAATGCTTCCATATAGAGCGTTGGGACAGATCTGTCGCAGCTAATACAAAATTGTTTGGTGGCGAAATTCTGCCATCTGAAAATGTTTATCATGGACACCTCTTACTTGTTTCGCATTTTAATCTCGTAGGTTGGTGGGCATGATTTATATTTATATTTGGGGGGTGAGTGGGATGACTCTGCCTGCCAGCAGACCATGCAAATGGTACTGACCGTTTGATTTTTTTTTGGGGGGGGGGAGCAGGAAGAAGCCAAAAAGTCTTTTGTGGACCAAGGAATTGCTTACCTTACCTGCTTTCAACACATGATTGGTAACCAGAGTTAGCCATTTTCTGTCTTAATCCATCAAGTTTTGGCATAAGACGAATTATGATGTCACAAGGTATGCAATGGGCTTATTTTGTTCCATATTCTTGGTTATATGCCCCAAATTTTTTAAAGTGGTCCCTCATGGCAGCTTTAACCAGGTGTTTTCTATAGGTGTCATGGTTTGCTGACCGGCAAATGACTGTACTATACATATATATATATATATATATATATATATATATATATATATATATATATATATACACACCATATTTTTAACACAGGGATACTCTAAGCTGCATAGTAATTATAATGAGTTAAATATTAGTATGCAACAAATAGTCAGACCACCCCATTTAAAATGCGAAGCCAATACGTCAAACTTTGTCATTAAATAGAATAAACAAGCCTAAATGAATGCATTTGCTGCAGCTGAAAAGGCAAGCAGCAATACTGGCATGGCCATCTAAATTTTATGTTACTTTTAGAGAAGAGAGATTGTTTTGTGGAGCATGCCCATTATTGCCCTTGACATAGGTTAACCGTGGCAATCAACATAAGTTGTTCAAAGCGATTTAAGGTGTTTTGATTTGTGTGTTGTCTTCTTTGTCTGATGTCGACAAGCATACACAAATGAACTGAATAAAAATGCAAGTTGAAACCAGCCAAAAACTAGCTTTAGGTATGATGTTTTTATCACATGTGGTGCTGTCAACAGACGGGTGAGTTGAGATGATGTTCGTCATATGGGCTACTCTAGGTTAAGTTAGGTTGATCAAGTGCATGGCAAATGACGATAGGAATTGTGCAAAAATCAGTAACTCACAACTGCTGCTATGATACAAACAGGTTATACAGGATGAGATGATGTAAGGCCTCTTTAGGTTAGGCATAGGCTACTTTCATGGATATAAGCATTGGTATTTTGCAAAAAAAAGAGTGACAAAATTTTTGTTTTCCCTGACCCCATCTTAACAGCAGCCAGAGGTATGTCTATTATGTTTGACTTGGTGATGGGCTGATGTGTAGCAGGCCAAGGTTTTTTTGTTTGAGTGTTTTATGCTTGTTTAATTTACTGTTGTTATTTTGTTATTGAATTCATTTGCTTTGTTTTGTTTTAAAAGTGATGTGGAAGGGATTTGAAAAGTGCAGCATCAAATTATTGGTGTTAATGATTTGTTATGCTCATAATACTGTCATGAAATTACTATGTCTGAACATGCACCCGATTGGCCGGCTAGATATTCTTCGCTCGGGTCAGGGGGGGGGGGGGCAATTCGACCTCCCCCTATGAGATCTCGGGAGCTAAGAAAGCTAGGGACATCAAATTTACCGGGTGCCTTGACCTATACGTGAACTCGTTTAGGTTGAGGTTTCAGCTTCCTAGGTCATGACCTTCAGGTCAAATAGGGTCAAACAAGGTCAAATTCCAGGTTGGTCTCCAAAGCGCCCCAGAACCTAGGCAACTGTCTCTAAGCGAAAGGTCACAAGCTCATTTGAGGTTATTGACCTTGTTTGACCCTTTGAAGGTCATGGTGACCAAAATGATACAAGACTGCTCTGAGTTTTACATATGAATAAACAACAAAGATCACGTTAGGCAGTATGTTCCTAAAACAAAAATTTGACCCGCGTCATCTTAGGTCGATGACCTGTTCTGACCTCTAAGAAGTCAACTGAAGATGTATAATGCGGTTCCTGCTGTCAATAAATTCGAAATGAGCACCAGAAGCTATCTCATAAAGCAAGCCCTAGAATAATAAATCAGGTTGGTTTTGACCTTGGTCTGACCTTTATACCTGACCTAAGGTCAACGTAATTTGCTCATTCAGTATTTGTAGTGCCTAAGAAAGCATCTCAGAGATGCATGCAGTCGTCGAACACTCTGTTGTTGTATCAGATTGAACGATTCCCTAGAAATTGCCTTCGCTGAAACCATGGGATGACTTTGACCTGTCATAGGTCAGCGACCTTACAAGGTACATCTAAAATTTGTACGTCAAACGATCCGCTATGCAGTTTTTCACAGCTGTGCATAATTGGGCGCGGCTACGCGGTGCCGTTCAGAAACCATTCGGGGAAAGCCCTCGGGGTGAGGTCAATTTGCCCCCTCCCCCCCACCCGCGCGCGTGTTAATGTATTCTGTTTTACTTGAATGGCCTAAGATGTTAAAAAACGAAATAGTTTGCCAAGTTCCTGATATTACGTCCATGCCAACTCACAATAGATGTTTTTGCTTGCTGAAGCATTAGTCACGAGCTCATAAATTCCATCTTTTGTGAATTGATTTTTTCACTCCCACACGGTCTTTTTGCGATGGAATTTTTCACTCCCACCCTAGTTCAAAAGCGATTCTAGCTCCCTGGATTTGGCCATTACTGGCCGTTTTCACATTTTGCGCCACTTCTCGGCAACCAAGGCGCCTGAAACTGCGATGACGAATGCCTTTTACTAAGGGCGATGGATTTTTCTCTTTTGCGCACTTCTACACGTGGTGTGTCATACTGCTGCGCTCAGGGCATGTGGCGCACCCGGGAGTAGTATGCATTGTTTGGGAATCGAACAGACAGTCACGTGGTATAGCCGCAGACAACACAGACTGCGCAACGTTAAATCGGACTCTTTCCCAGCCCTACGCACAGCAGCAGTCTGAGCCGAGCCGGCACCCGAGACAGGCATGTAGCGGGCGGCTGGGTGTCCCAAGACAGGCGTTGCAGGTTCCTTTGCAAGCACCACCTTTATTCTCCAATACATGTAAACACCAGATATTTTGCCCACTTTCCCAAACACATTAAGGCTTGAATGCGTGCCATCACCTCAAACCCTGTATTTGGAACGACTAGAAAGGCATCAGACAGCAAAGCCCCACTAAGCCTAAGCCCTTAGCCAAAGGAATTACGGAAAGGTCCGGATGTTTCCACGACAAGACATCTGATGAACATGCAATGATCACAGCACTACAATGAGAGAAAACAATCTGCGTACGCACATTATTTATGGTGCGCCGTGTGTTTCACTATACAACTTGCCGTTCCATGACATCAACTTGACATGACAGGCTCTGCGCGCCAGCCTTCGATTTTGGTCGACGCAGTCGTGCAGACTGTGCGGTGCTGCGGCACGACGGAGCTGGCTCTGACAGGGGCGGGGGGTGGACGGAGAACGTGGCGGCGCACCAGTTCGTCATGAATGTCGACAGCGCCTTGTCCCAAGTCCGGCCATGCTCGGGGTGATCTTCCAGATCGAGAAGAATGGACTTCTGCATCTTGCCTAGGAGATCCAGCAAAGCAGCAGGTTAGAATAGGTGAGGTGAGGTGAGGTGAGGTGAGGTGAGGTGAGGTGAGATGAGATGAGATGAGGTTAGGTTAGGTTAGGTTAGGTGAGGTTAAGTTAGGTTAGGTTAGGTTAGGTTAGGTTAGGTTAGGTTAGGTTAGGTTAGGTCAGGTCAGGTCAGGTCAGGTCAGGTCAGGTCAGGTCAGGTTAGGTTAGGTTAGATTAGACTAGTTTAGGCTATGTTCTGGACTATTCTGTCCTGTCTGTTTCACAAACGTACGTATACGCGATAAGAAGCGTATTTCATTGCATTATTGTTGTTACCTTGCCTCCGTACATTTTTTATGGTTCTTGATCAGCAGAAATATTGCAACCAGGCAACGATAACGCAAAAACGGCGCTGGGGAGTCGAGGCGGTGGGGCGTGTGGGGCGCGCGGAAGTTCGCTATCGTAGTTATTAAAATTCGAAGGTAGGGGCATGAAACTACCTGTTTTATGATTATTTACGATATGTTCCGCCTTAAACACGACGAATGATGTACCATGTTTTTTCTAACATCAGGTACCAACGTATACCTACATTTGCCAACCAGCTGCCCCTGACATGAGGTGCGGGCCAAATTCCAAACTTTTTATTGTTTGCAATGATTGTGATACTCTCGTACTGATTTGCATAAAACGTGTCAGATACATCAAAGGCGCAATACTACATTCAAATATAACTCAAAAGCACGTACCTGCATAAAAGCAAGTCATGTAGGATTAAAATGTTAGTTCATTGTCTACAATTGCATAATTTGTGCCTGCACCTCACAGAAAATTTTATTCATTGAGCATGACTAATCCCAAGAAAACAAGAAAGACCAAAAACATGGGACTAAGCCTTATTAGAATGAAGTTCTGAGCAGCATCCCGCTACGCGACATCTTATTCTTATCCTTCTGTCCCTTCACGTACAGAATTGACCCAGCCTACCCACTGATGAGATCATCAAAACCTGTGGTTCTAGGATTTAGGTCCAAACCAAAAGGCCGTATCAGGACACGGCCGTGTGTCTACACAATACCTTTGCTAAAAGTAGACGGGCCTTAAAGAAGCGTGCCATACCAGTAGCAATCGCAATCTATGCGGATGGTAGACGCGATACGATACGAACCATGAGCAGCCCAAGTCCGAGTTGATTGGTTACTAGCCAGCCACCCGGATCATTCCAGCTGACTGTAACCAATGGTAGCGAACGGTAGACGGCATTGAAAGAAGACCAGCGGGGTTTATTGTATGACGCAATCGCAGTCTCAGGCTGCGATAATATCACCTAGTGGTGCCGCATGTTTGTGCTATTTTCTTACAGTATCTGGTCATTGTCATGGCCTTAAATTTTTCTGTTAGTTTTAATTCTCCATGCGGTGGCTAATAACCCCTAGAGCACGAGTTGTTTCTCGCCTGCACAGAAACAACTTGGTATGATACAAATCTGACGCCTTTGGGACAATTTTTCGTTTCTTGACCTTACGTTTGCGACCCCTCACCGTTCGGCGTTGTTTTGTAACGTAGGGGGACTGGGCGAGTTGGTCGGTGCTGCGTCGCTCGGGGATACGCTTGTTTAATGGATACATTTCGTACTACATCATATTATGTTAGTTCACCAGTGATTATTTTATCAGTGCCAGTATTTTGCCTGCCTCCTGCTTTTGCAGTGAGGACTTGAAGCCTTGATATTATGTGACACAAAATGCTAGATATCCTCTGATCAAAAAGGAAACTTAACGTGATATGTTTTGAATGCATGATCTACTTCAGCCCTTAGTGTGCCCTCAAACATTGCACAATGTTACTGGAAGGCATTTGTGTCACTACTTTTTTAGATTGGTTGTGCAAGTCATGAAGTAACAAATTATTGTCGTACATACCATATTGCACTGCAAGAAATGCATGCCAAACATGTGGATCATCACCACCCCTGAGCACATTGTTGGGTTATTTCCAGAAGGGATTATCCCACAGGCTATTGTGGACAGCAAGCATGATGGATTATGAATTGTGAGACAACTGGCCTGAGTCAAAGTCCTCCCTCGCCCTAATTTATTGTGTGCTGCTTAGATTCTGTCTAAAGAGAGGTTTGATGGGTTGTCTATGTGCTTTGTTATAGCAAGAAAATGGAGCTTGTATTTTATTGTCAGTTGCCACCAGCCTGGCCTGGGGACATGGGCCATATATTGACAGGGTCAACCCAGAAGACATATTTCTAGAAGATATAAAAAGGGAGACAACTTCAGCTGGCCTTTTTGGAGAGTCCCTTGTCTATAGGGATCTATATATATTGACATGATGCCTGTTTCAGGTGTTTTTGAAAAGTCTTGCACATAAGGCCTGCATTTAGAGAGGTTATGTTTGGAAATCCTATTTTACAAGGCCTGTGTTTGGAAGGCCTACTTCTAGAGGCTCTGATCATAGAAGGCCTTGCAAAAGGTGTATGCTTAAGCAGTCTGATTCCTGAATTGCTATGTTCAGATGACTGATGACTACACAAACTTGTGAGATCAGTTAGGAGAACATTAAAATTGTTGGTTTTCTCTCTTTGTGGCACCAAAGACATGATTTGGGAAATGTATGAAAGTTGTATGGGATGCATTATTCATATTCTATCTGGAGTGGTGTCATCCAAGTAAGCATTTAGAACACAGGTTTGTGCAGGAAACAATTTGAGCACATGTCTTATGTAAATAGACCATTGCACACATGGTTTCTCTAAGAAGGCATTTGAAGCACAAACATGGACATGGAGGCCTTCCAACCACAGGCATCTGGAAAGGACACCTTCTTGATGCTAGGCTTCTGAACACACACCTTCAAAGTGTATGTCTAAAATAGGTTGATCAAAACTAAACATTTCATTTTGGAATGAGAGGGGGCATGTGGAAATAGGCCTTTTAGGAAAGGAATTGTGAATAAAGTATGTGTACCTTTAAAAATTGTATTTCATATTTCCAGGAGGAGTCATGAAGAAAATAGCATTTGGAAAGATATCACTTCCTGTAGCTGGTACATCCAAGCTGTCAGCAGAAGGTACTGAGGGTGGAAACTTGGAAAATGCACCACATGGATTTGGGTCATTTGGAAAGAAGGAGCCTCCATCACAACTACGTGAAGCTCAGATTGAAGAAAAGCACTCAGATGAGAATGAAGAAATGACCAGGATCATGGGCTTTGAGAGTTTTGGTGGGAAAAAGGCCAGGCAGTTTGATGTAGATGCTGTGCTGAAGGACTCACTGAAGAGTGCTGTGGAAAGAAATAAAGATAACTTAGGTAAGTTTTGGCAAAGATGAGCAAAATGGTATTTACATCACACACTATTCACAGGAATTTGTGACCAGCACTCAGGTTGGCTGTCAATATATCAAACACATGTGAATGTTTCCTGTTGCCAGAAAATGTTTGTCATTTTCAACCCGAGCAATGCTATGTTGCTGGTTACCTGGGAACCAATACTGTACCACTGGTTGCAAAAATCAAGTCTCTCATCAGAGTTCCTGATATCCAAACCATAATTTTGTTGAGCATAGAAGGTATCAATAAAATGCAGACTCCATTACATTTTGCAATATTTGTTGAGTTGAAATGATGTAGGTGGACCAACATTGCTCATTAATTATATCCATCTAAGATGGTCTTGGTTCAAAAATTGCTCATTTTGCATTATCATCCTTGTTACCATCATGCTTTTTTGTTCACCACACAAGTCAGTCACACTACTTTGTCTTTCTGGACATCATTTTACATTGACAGTATGTTGTTTCATTAAGGCTAAATTGTGTTTGATTATCCACCTCTGCTAACTAAATGCAGACAGCTTGATTACCATACCATGTTCAGCTGCCTTTGTGTGGTTCGCTTTGGGAGCCTGCAGCATTGGACCATTCTAACCTGCCTGCTGTGGCAGAGCGGCTAGCAGAGATGTCCGCCGCCGGCGCCGCTGGGGACGCCACCGACGTCACCGCTCCGGACAGCGAGGAGGCGGATGGCCAACACTCGGACGACGATGACGTCATTGGTGAGTAGTCGCTGACGCTCTGAAATGGACAGGAGACTTTCACGGCCAAGGTCGATAGCTTATTGCATGCTACTGGGAATGTTTCACCCTGAGAGACATTCAGCAATGGATAAAGTATGCCTGCAAATTATATGCTGGTAATAGATCTGCTTTGATTGCTTTCATAAAACACTGGAAATTGACAAATTGGGGTACAGCTGAATTAAGAACCATTACCCCACACTCACACCCACGACAACACTTATGTGATGAGGTGACATCAAATATTTCAACTTGGTCCAATAGATACAAAATACATTGCGGAATGTCACTTTGAATTACATGCCGTCGTCCCTGTATCTGATCATGGGTGATAACACCATCGAAATGAATGCAGTGATAATTACCGTCAGGCTTAGACAAAAGGATATCTTATACTTAAACTTTCGCCTTGTGAAACCTGTCTTGGCTGTCTCATCAGAAGGGAGAGCCCCCCCCCCGCCAAATGTTCCCTCATTAAGCTAGTCATTGAAGATGGTGGATAGTTTGTCTGAGCGATCCGGCGTTCCCCGGCGTGGAGCCTTCAGGTGTTTTATTGCCTTTCCATGTCAGGTTGACATCAGTGCGTGAGAGCAAAGTTAACAATTGCTATTTTGTGGGTCAGGAAACGGTACTTTCCGAACCCAATAGGCACAAATCCTGGTCCGCATCACGTTGAGTACAAGGTGCTGTATGACCGAGCAAGGTGAATGAAATCGTCATATGCCATCGGGCTCGATACGCCGTGAGCAGGTCACTGACATGACGAGTGCATAGTGACCTGTGTGTTCGAGCATCATCACCATATGCTAGCATAGTGGACCCCGGCCAACAGAAACGGAAGTCATCTTAGTTTAGCTGTGTCTCGACCGTCGACGAGAAGTCCGTGATTTCCGATATTAGTGCTCCGTAAGGTACCACACCATTTCAGACCTTGCTGTCCGGAGACTGGCGACGTTCTAAGCTCATTTGGTTGGCTTTTCGGTTTCAGGAGTATGGTGAAAAGTCGCTTTGACGACAGCATGTTTGATGGCATTCCACAGGTCCGCCAGTGCCGCCTACGCTGGCGGGCTCGGTGGGTGACGAGGATGGAGGAGCCAGTGACGTCAGTGAGGACGAGGAGGACAATGTGAGTCTCCATTCTTTAGGGCACTCTTTGGGTAACTAGCTGACCACTGAATATACAGGTTCGCTGCCCCTGTTGTATGTACGCCCGTGTTGGAAGGCTTTTAAGCGCTTTCTAAAGAATGGTTTTCTGACGACACTGGTTGTTGGCTTTTTTGTGCCTTACCTGTTTCCTCCTCGTCGCCATTGCATTGCAGCCACGGACGACCCCGTGCGACCGTGTGTGCGGCTAGTTGTGACATACATGACACGTTTGACCGCGTTGGACTACCCGTTTGTGTGCGCCTTCGTGTGCCTGTTTATGACCATGCGCATGCCAGGGTGTTGCGGCGCGTGGGACAGTATGTGCTGGGGTGTCTCAGTGGGGGTCCGCCTGTGACGGCCTATGGTGGCGCGACAGGACCCGCGCGGCTGGATCCCGCACGCGCAGGAGCTGGCGCTGGAGCACGGCGCGCGGCCGGTGACGGCGCTGGCCGCCGACCCGGCCGGCTCGCGGCTCGTCAGCGGCGGCCTAGACTACGTGCTCAAGTACTGGGACTTCAACGGCATGGACGTCGGCCGCCGCTGCTTCCGCGAGATGCGGCCGTTTGAGAGGTGAGCTCTGCCGTCGGGGCGCGGGCCGCTGGCGGCGCGCGCTGCAGATGCAGAGATGCGGCTCGCGCCGGATGTAGCGCCTTTGGCAATCAGCGCACAAAGGAAACAAACCAATCTAAACTTTCCCTTCCCCCCACCAATAGAAGTAAGGAGTCGAAAGGGTGTCGGCGTTGACCCAAGTCTGTCCTGTGGGATTCATTTTTTTAAGCGTTTTCGAAGTTTGGTGTGGAGGCTGCTGCATGAGTTGGGCTCTGTCCCATTCCATGAACCACATAGGATGGATACCCACCTGATATGATGCCATAGGAGAATGACATGGTTTGCATACTGTGTGAATGGCAAGGGCGGCAGGCTCCTCTCGTGCCGTCCCTGCTCGCCTCGCCTGCTCGTGCCTAACCACGTGGTTGGTCGCGCAGCCACCCCATCAACGACGTGCAATACTCGTCGACGGGCGACCGCGTGCTGGCGGTGTCGGGCAGCTCGCGCGCCAAAGTGCTCGACCGGGATGGTCTGGAGGTGGCCGAGACGCCGCGCGGCGACATGTACCTGGTGGACATGCAGCGCACCAAGGGCCACGTGGCGGCCATCAGCAGCGCCGCCTGGCACCCCAAGCTCAAGGACGAGTTCCTCACCTGCGCCAGCGACGGGTCAGTGCCGCTGACACGGGCCGCTACGCTTGGGAGGAGGACTGGGCGACAGGAGAAGGTTAAGCTAGCGGGAGAGGGGGTGAGGGATGCAGTAGCATGAGGAGGAGGGTGCACCACCTTGGGCAGGTGTGCTTTGGTATAGGCGTGATCATAGCGCTGTGGGTGTGCAGATGCATTGCGGCCTAGAGAGTGCTGTGGTATGGACATGGGTGCGGCACATGGGGTGGTGTGAAACTTCTGGCTGCTGTGTTACACTACATGTAATGTAGAAATAGCAGTACCATGTGCTAGGCAGTGCTATAATAAGCCCTTACCTGCAATCAGGATATTCTACTTCCATGTGCCCACCCTGCATCCATCTAGTGAGGTGGTTATCCCTGTTTTTCGAGGCATGTTATGGAAATCCATTATCATGACCTACCTTTGATCACCAATGCCGCTTCACTCCTTGTACCTGAGCCCCTGTTATGCCTGCAGCACGTGTCGCATCTGGCACGTGGAGGACGCGGCCAAGCAGCAGCGGCACGTGGTGAAGCCGCGGCAGGCGGGCGGCCTGAAGACGCACCCGAGCGCCTGCAGCTACAGCCGCGACGGCACCCTGGTGGCGGCCGCCTGCACGGACGGCTCCCTGCAGATGTGGGACCACCGGAAGAGCTATGTAAGACATGTCCCAGCCGCCTGGGTGACATGCAAGACCCGTCTCAGGTTTGCGATCGTCGGTTTACTGCGTGTGGTCCTTCCCAGGTGTGGAAACACCCGAACAAAAGCTGTGGAATGCCGATGTTAGGGTCCGGTCCGTGGGGCGGGGTGAAAGTATCAGAAACACGCTTAAAGACAGCGGAGATCAGGCACAGAGACAACGGAAACACATGCATTTATTGATTAAATTAGATCATGCGAATTGGATGAGCAACATGGTGATGTATGTAGAAGAGCTTTAAAGTAATCTGATCCTCATAATGTAATGAATAAGTCCAGAAAGACATTTTTCTGCACTCATTCATTCCAAAACGAACGTATGGTTATTCTTATCTTCCTCTGCATGCATTCAGTTCTGTTGGGATTCCGTATGGCGATAGCATCACGTTGTCGGCAATGTTTTCTTTCTGCCGCATGTCGTGCTGGAAAAATCCTAAGTCCACAAAATTCAAGCCAGTTGACGGCTACCCCGTCCTGTTGCAGGTGAACACGTGCATGCTCGTGCGGGACGCCCACCAGAAGGGCACCGAGACGTCGAGCATGGTGTTCTCGTACGACAATTTGAGCGTAGCCACACGAGGTGGCGACGAGACACTGAAGCTCTGGGACGTCCGCCAGCTCCGGAAGCCCGTGCACACGACCGCCGGCCTGTTCAACAAGTTTGCCATGTGCGTCATCGGTCAGCTGAAGTCCCATGCGGCGCTGCTTGCTGCCCTGCTCCCCCCCCCCTCCCATTAGCGGCTGGAGCTGTGAAGTTGCGCTTCACTGGAGGACCAGTTGTCCATCCATAGCTGCTGGAGCTGCGGCGTCGCGCCCCACGGGAGGAGCGACTGTCCGTCCATGGCTTAGTCACATCAGTGTTTCGCACAAAACCTCGGTCCGATAATCTATCGTCGCCAGCTTTGTTTGCACTGTGTATCCAGGCAGCACCGGCTGCTTGCTCAGTCCCTGTGACCAGCTGTGTAATTCTGGACAGGACTGACTGTTGTTCAGCCCCAATGACCAGCTGTGTGTTTCTGGACAGGACCGACTGCCTGTTCAGCCCCTGTGATCAGCTGTGTGTGCCTGGACAGGGCCGACTGCCCGTTCAGCCCCAATGACCAGCTGTGTGTTTCTGGATAGGACCGACTGTCTGTTCAGCCCCAATGACCAGCTGTGTTTCTGGACAGGACCGACTGCCTGTTCAGCCCCAATGACCAGCTGTGTTTCTGGACAGGACTGACTGCCTGTTCAGCCCCAATGACCAGCTGTGTTTCTGGACAGGACCGACTGTCTGTTCAGCCCCAATGACCAGCTGGTGGTGACCGGCACGTCGTTGGATCGGGGCGAGACGGTTGGCCAGCTGCACTTCTTCAGCCGGCTGACGTTCGAGAAGGTGGCCCAGCTGCCGGTGGCCGAGGGGGTGAGCTGAGCGTAGTCTTCTCATCTGTGCTGCACGTCCACGTAACGTCGCTGTCCTAGCAGGCCGGTCGGCGCCGCGTGTGCTGCACGTTGCTCTGTGGGATCCCCACGACCCACAGCGTATGCTTCCCCATGTCCAAAAGTTCCAAGCGGCAAACAGAATGAAATCAGCGGGGCACGGTCGGTCGACTGACCACGGCTCACGGTGCACACTCCATACGGCCCACAGGGTAGACTCCATACGGCCCACAGTGTAGACTCCACACGACCCACGGTGCAGACTCCATACGGCCCACAGTGTAGACTCCATATGGCCCATAGTGTAGACTCCACACGGCCCACGCTGCAGACTCCATACGGCCCATAGTGTAGACTCCATATGGCCCACAGTGTAGACTCCACACGACCCATGGTGCAGACTCCATACGGCCCACAGTGTAGACTCCACACGGCCAACGGTGCAGACTATACGGTCCAGTGTAGACTCCATGCGGCCCATAGTGTAGACTCCATACGGCCCACAGTGTAGACTCCACACGGCCCACGTTGCAGACTCCATACGACCCACAGTGTAGACTCCATACGGCCCACGGTGTAGACTCCACGCGGCCCACGTTGCAGACTCCACACGACCCACAGTGTAGACTCCACACGGCCCACAGTGTAGACTCCACACGGCCCACGTTGCAGACTCCACACGACCCACAGTGTAGACTCCATAGGGCCCACGGTGTCGAGTCCATACGGTCACAATGTAAACTTCATACGGCCTACAGTGTAGCCTCCATATGACCCACAGGCTCCGTATGGCCCTAGCACGGAAGGTCCAAACGGCCCGCAGTGTGGCCTCCCCGCGGCGCCAGGGTACTCCCCTGGCCGCCGCAGTGTGATCGGTCCGTGGGGGTGTTCACACGCTGCCTGATCGGGCGCTCTGTGTGACGTCACTGGGGTCCGTTTGGCAGCACGTGATTCGGATCGTCTGGCACCCGCGCATCAACCAGCTGATGCTGGGCTGCGGCAGCGGCGTCTGCAAGGTGCTGTTCGACCCGGACAAGTCGCACCGTGGTGCCATCCTCGCGGCCGGCAAGAAGAAGTCCAAGTCGAAGCAGGTACGTTCGCTCGCGGCGATCGCAGTCGTGCTTGCAGTGAGCGGCTCAAATGGTGCGTGATAATGAACGTGTGCTGAGTCTGACGTCGGCTGTAGCGCTGTGGCATGTTTTAATGATTTCGCCAGCGTGGTGCGAAATCCCACCGCGCATGCGTGGCGCGGATGATGTAGCGATACCGTTCCGTCTGAGGTCGTGGACGACTTAGGTGCTGTCATACCGTGCTCCAGTCCGTCTGGCCCGTTTGTGTGGGCTGGCCGGACGACTCACGCTCTTGCCTGCGCGGCAGATGGAGGTGGTGATGAATACGCAGGTGATTACGCCGCACGCGCTGCCCATGTTTCGCGAGCCGCGGCCGCGCTCCACCCACAAACAGATTGAGAAGGCCCGCCAGGACCCGCAGAAGTCGCGCCGGCCCGACCTCCCCCAGGGAAAGTCAGGTCAGTCGGGCAGCACGCGTGAGCCGCGGTGAGGACCGTCGCAGGACCTGGTCACGAACCGGTGGAGTCCTCATGTCTGTACGGAGTCGCAGTGCTGCTGGCTGTCCGTGGCATGTTCGGCTTCTCACTCTGAACGGGTAGGAAAGCAGCTGCGCAAGTACGGCTGCTGAGCGCGCAGTGCTGCTGACTGTCCGCAAACATCGCTGAAAATAGCTCACACTGGCCATGCCGCGTTGCCCGGTCGTTTGTTGTGAGAGTTGTCCCGTCTTGACCCATTGTATTAGCGCAGTGAACACCAAGTTGTGTCCGTATTTCGTTCATGCATGCAAGTGAGGCTGAAAAGAAATAGCCCGTTGCTGATAAGGTATGTGAAATCGCCCTGCTTCCTGACGGTACTAGTTATTATTCAGTCCGCTTGGCCAAGGATGTTTTTAATTAATGTCGTAAGAATGTAGTTTTGCAATCTGATGGACGAACCTGTTAGTGGAATGAATGAAATACCCTTGTGGGAAGCGGACCGAATAATATGTAGACGAGGCGAAGGATTCAGTGTATTATGGTAAATGTCGGCCATCCAGCATGGCTCCCATCTGTAACAATGAGGAAAGTCAGTAACAAAGGGAAAACAAAGAGAAAGAGAGAAAGGGGAAATGCAGAGTTTTCCTTGGGGGACCTCAGTGAGAAAAGGGGACATATCTACTTGTTAGGGGTTGTATCGGAATGATATGCATTGCACTTTTTATTTTACTTTGGATTGAACACTTGAGTGCCTGATAGCAATGATTGATCTTTTTGAGTGCGTGATTCATGAGGGATGTGTTTAGTGCGATGACGTTGGAGCAATTTCTTCATTAAAAAGCTAGGTGGCATTTGCGGTTTTAGTTGTTGGTTTGCTGTAATATCGGCAGTATCGCGCTGCTGCTCCGACACGTAGCGCCGTAACTTTGCCGGAAGTGCCAGCAGCGAGCTGTGGGTGGACGCCCGTCCATCTGCGTCCACGTCCACAGGCTTTACAATGTAGTGCATATATGCTTCATTGTAGAATCTGTGCCAGGGTTTTGTCCAACGCCGTTAAGTCACAACCAGACCCCAGTTTTGTGTTGTTTCTCAAGGTCATGTTTTGCTCTCCTTGCTGCCCAGTGTCTGCACACGTCCGCGGCAGACTGGTTCGTTTCTCTTGTGATTGCGGGCTAGGGTTCTCAAGCGCGTTCGTTTAATTCCTGTAATCCGAAGTCGCTGCCTTTACTGTCCATTTGTGTGTGATGCGCAGCACAATAATGTGTGACCATTTCAATAGAGCGCAGCGAAGAATCAGGGAGCAGGTAGTTCCATTAATTGCACGGGCACTCGATCTGCTCAATACAGTTACGGCTCTCCGTAGCAACCATTGCCATGTAACCCGTGCGCAGCAACATGTCATTGCAATGCAAATGTCACGGTACCTATCGTATTTGATAAGTCAGTCTGGTTTTTCCTTTCGTAACAAACACACGTTCGACAATAACAAGCATGCGTCAAATGTTGAAGAAAATGAACGAATAATGATGACCAACGTCTCCTGTTTAGGAAAAGTGAATAACAATAGTTTTTTTGTGCCAGATTTTCGCAATAGCATTTCACAGTCCTGCTCAGAACGTGTGGTATCAGGACGATAGAACATTGTCGTGTAACAGGCATGAATCGTCGCTCGCTCGCACAATCTCTGCAGGCACTTCCATACCATAATGTAACCTAAAACTCTCGACATGTGCAGACGGTGAACACTTCATTTGGTATAAAAAGCCGCGTATCCATGGCACTCGTTGGGGCGGCTGTGCCGTTCCCGTAGTCGCTGGGAATGCCCGGGAGAGACCGTTGCCAGCGCCGGTGCTCCGCGCGTGCCGAGTCTCGAGTGCTTGTCTGCACGGATAACGGACGGAACGCTGCCTCCGGCAGGCACTGGCGGCCGCGTGGCCACTGGCGGCTCCACGCTCTCCTCCTACATCATGCGCACGCTCGGTGTCGAGGCCAAGAAGCGCGAGGAAGGTGACCCGCGCGAAGCCCTACTCAAGCACGCCAAGGAGGCGGCTGAGAACCCCTACTGGGTCACGCCGGCCTATGCCAAGTACGTGACGCGCCGGCGGCCAGGTTCCCGCACTAGGGAGCGGAAGGGAGCGGCTGTGACGGCAGCCGGGCTTGATGTGCTTTTGTGGGCGGAAGTATCGGTGGGGGGGGGGGACCCTCTACTTAGTGACGTGACGTATGGGATAGGCTAGGTGGAGACTGAGAATCAGAGGTAGAGTGGACACAATGCTCATAACTGAGGACATTGTCGGCAGTGAGTTAGTTGTAAGCTTATCGCATTTGGTGAGATTTGTTGCCGCTTTCACAGAACATTTTGACCCTTTCAGGACGCAACCGAAGCAGATCTTCCAGCAACCCGAGAATCAAGACGAACCGGACCCAAAGAAACGCAAGACGTAATTCGTATCATCTTTTCATCATGTTGTCGACGTTGATGTTGCGTATATCTATGTACGTCAGCACCCCCCATCTTAAATGCAATGTACATCGTGAATATTTGAAGCACAATATATCTGTAACATCACCAGTGATAGTCTCTTTTCTAAATGTGGTAAGGCTTCTGTGAGCCGGAAACAAATATTCAATAACGTTAGTTGGATAAACATGATAGATGTGGGGAACAATAAGAATAAACTCATCCCTGAAATACAATGATTTAGACGAGGGAATCATCTATAATATTTACATTTATAATTTTGTATTTCAGCTATTGGTCCTCTAATTAAACGCATATAAAGCAAGTACTTGATTCCAATCACAGACGTGCAGATAATTTTACAAACGTTTTGCACGTTTCTCGGACCGCCTTATATCGAAGTACTCCGTTTGAGAAGAATTGCTTACTATACGGTGCCATATGGGACAGGCCTCAAAAGTCGTTCAGAGGAAATGATGGTGTTCGGTGTAGGTTTCAGGTTTCTTATTTAAATTGCTGCTGCGATTTTTAAGTCGGCATCTCTTCACATACCTGCAAGATTGATGCTGTGAGCGAGTTTGTGTCGACGAACTCCGTATGATGTGCGTTAGAGAAATCTTCCCCGAATGGTGTTTTTGCTCTTTTTTTCTGGCACCTCGGATGTGCGCGTTAAAACGCTCCCGGACGCTACGTTGTTTCGCCAATACAGGCATTTGGGGTTTTGCGTAGCTGACAAGTGATGAAGAATACAACATTCATGGTGCGAACACAACATTCATGACGCATGGTCCGGGACCTCTGAGATGCAAAAAACAAGACCAAAGACTCCATTCGGCGACCATTTCACTGACGTCCATCATACGGAAATGGTCGACAAAAATTCGCTCTATATATATATATATATATATATATATATATATATATATATATATATATATATATATATATATATATATATATATACGCGACTTCCTCTTCGAGCATTCTGAAGTCTGTCACATACGACAGTCTGACCATACAAATTATCTCCAAGAGTTGCTGGACACGTATCCCAACAACAGTAAATCATGCCGCCTTAGAATGTTCTGCACGTCTGTGATGTGAATCAAGTCCTCATTTACGTGTGTGTAGAGGCAGCTCCCTCGATTGAAATTTTGTTCTGGACTTATCCATTCCTTTATGGGCAATAACTTATTACTTCCTCAACAGCCTTTGGGCATGTTTGCCACCGACCCGAGGCTGCATCGTCTGAGCCGGCTATCCGATATGCAGCAGCAGTTATCATGTACACGGCTTTATAACACGACTAACAGGGCTGTCTGAATCTTGTAAGCGGCAGGTGGCGGCCATAAATGTCGTCACTAGATTGCCATTTGGACCGCCCATCAGGCAACTAGCTACTATCTGCCAGCAATCTCGCTCCTGCCGTATTTAGCCTGTCCCGGCCTGATCCCTCTGGCATTGCGAGGCCTGGTCTTCGAACCACGCCAGTGTCTCCAGGCAACGACGCCTATTATTCATCGCTGCATTGTACCTGGGGTAGCAGACTAGACGGCATATCTACTGGTAATATCATTCATAACCGCCCGCGCGGCTGCAACAATAAAGGGCCAATAAGTGATGTCACGGCCGCATTGGCTAGTTCCGAGGATCGCCTGCCTGATCCATGGACAACTCAGAGCGACGGGCTGCGGTCAAGGCTCATGACGGCGTGATAGGTCAAACTGAGAGCCTTGTGTGGCCAGTGCTTCGTGTGGACCTCGCCATTGCGCCTGCGGTCACACCAGCCTCACATCACCTACCAATCGAAGCAGCCCGCCTCCACGCCGACTGGAGCCGAAAGCCATCTCTGGATCACGCCATGCATTTGCCCGAGGCGTATGTACAGTATATTCACATCACAGATGCACCTAACGGGGCCGGGCTACGTGTGTCCGCCGGCAGAGCCGTCCGGCCGCCGGCGTCGGCGGGCCGTCTCTCACACCACCACCCGCGGCGGCGCCGGCTTCTCGAACTCGTCCAGCTGCTCCTCGTAATAGGCGCCGGCCTTGTGTGGGTTGAGCTCCCACATGATGCGATCCTCCATGGTGGTCAGCGTCACACCAAGGTCGACCAGAGTCGGAGCACCGCTCACCGTGTCGGTCACGCATTCCTGCAGGGGCGGCAAGAGGTCAGAGGGTCACGGGGTCAGCGGGGCGGCACGGGGTCAGCGGGGCGGCGCGGGATCAGCGGGAGCGGCACGGGGTCAGTGGGGACGGTACGGAGTCAGTGGGGGGCAGCACGGGCTCCGCGGGGGTGGCACGCGGTCAGCGGAGGCGGCACGGGGTCCGCGGGGCGGCACAGGGTCAGCAGCGGCGGCGACCACACGTCACGACAAGGCCGTTGGGAGCGGCCCGGTGCGGCTTGGTCACCAAAACGGGCATTTGGTCCTAAAGCAATCGCGCGACTGGCACAATGACCACCACTCATCGGTATTCGATCGCCCGCCATCCCTGGAGGGCTGTCCAGGCTGAACGTAACCCGGGGCTGAGACGCGCAGCACGTCGGCAGTGCGGCATACGTCCCCCCCCCCCCTACCCCCACAGCGCACCAGCAGCGGCGCGTCAGCACGCACCCGCTCCACTTTGTCGGGCACCAGCGTGCCGATGGGCCAGCTGGGACAGAACAGCTCGTTGAGGCGGGCGCGCAGCATGAGCGTCGGGTCCCACTTCATGTCGTAACGCACATAGCCCCAGTCGCTCTTCTTGCGCACGACGCGGTGGAACCAATCGACCAGCTCGCTCAGCTGGTAGCGGTGCGGTCTGCGGCAGCCGGTGAACGCGGCGTCAGGCACCACGGTCGGTCCGCGGCGCCGGGGAACGGCACGGCGACCGGCATGTACATACAGGCCGACCGCAGGGGGTCGTTGACGACACTGTTCGGGTCGTGACGCCGAGGCATCGAGATCACGTCATCATGTAACACCATATCACTCGAAGACCACTTCAAAAGATTTCCTCGTCCATAACGCAGACTGGTGTCTTTACGAGAATGATCGCTGACTTATACCTTTGTCTAATGCCTTTGGGGACAATAAATACATGACCACACCAAACAGCCACCAGGGGCTCACCGCACCAAATATACTCATACACGTAGGACAGGGAGAGGAGGAAACCCGCCCAATATTTCGGACATGTCGATATCAGGCCTTGTGTAGCACAAGGCAAGCAGCAAGAGAAACAGAGTCGAGCCAGATCCTCTCCTCCATGAGCTTCAAAGCACGCTACATGCATTTTCCTTACACAGGACGCTGGCGGCGCAACACCTTCTAGCGATCGGCGGCAGCCGCTGGTGGTGCGGTGCCGGCGGCGGGCGTGCTGGCGCCAGCATCACTCACCCGACGGCCTCGTACGTCTGGCCGACGGCGTCCGGCGAGGCCAGCGCCTTCACCACGCCCAGCGCCACGTCCCCCACGAACACCGGCTGCTTGATGGTGTGCTCGCCCTTCCCGTACAGCGGCATCCACTTGCCCTGGTGCCGGGTCAGGCTCGTGAAGTACCTGCCGACCGCCACGGCGTCATCACGGCGCACACCTTGTTCGGCGTTTGCGTATCAGAAACGGTTCCAATCCTAAGACGGCCAGGGATGGCTTTAGGTCATTTCTGGATTGAATGGAAAGGGAATAGATTGAGTGGAGTGCACTTACATGGGGTTTTTGGCGAACATAGCCTTTTGAAGATCATTCGATGCAATGCACGGCCCTGCCGAACTAAACCCTCTAGTTTCTGAGCTATACGCCCGTAGCAACGTCATTCAAATCTTGCCACCCCACAGGCCAGGCAGCATTCAAGTCTAGCTAATCATAGCTGATGCTTGCATCAATACCTTTAGATGCGGAATGTTCCCTTTAAAAGGCTTCGTCCTTTTTCGACTTCAGATAACAACCCATAAATGTTACCATGCAATGAACGGACACTTAACTGCCCGCATTGATACGCCATTGACTTTCACGTAGCACCAATGCTTTTTCTTCTCAAACCCTCGCGGATACAGACCTCTTCTATGCTGACCTGCCACCTGACGAGACCTCCCATTATATCCCAATGCTCCTGAGCCCTCCTCTGACCTGGTGAACCGGTCCTCCTGGCCGAACATGTCTGCCGGCCGAAACACGATGGCATCGGGGAACTCCTCGCGCACGGCCATCTCGCCGTGCCACTTGCTCCGCAGGAACTGAGAGCCACCCTTCAGCACGTGTCCCTCAGGGTTCTCCGCCGCGTTCAGTGCCGAGAAGTGCACCAGTTTCTTAACGCCGGCCTCGCGGCAGGCCCGCGCGATAGCCCGCGCGCCCGCGTTGTGGACGTCATCGAACTGCCGGCAGTATGGCTGTCAGGGACACGGCCGATCTCTCAGCCGAGGAGGTGCCAACAGTACACGCCAAACGAGGGACATACTTGGGAGTTATCCCGCGTGGCGCCAGGGAGTGTCGCAGCGGCCGTAGGCGAGCAGCTCATCTCGGACATGGGAATGCTCATGGGAAACTTTAAACATGGGCGCTACTTGCAGTCAGCCGATCACGCGCCGCACCTTGAAGTTGAAGGTGGTGAAGTCGCGGCCCACCAGGTTGATGACCACATTGGAGTGCTTGACGGCCTTCCGGATGGAGTCCATGTCGCGCAGGTTGTAGTGGCAGAAGACCACCTGGCCCAGGTCGCCGGCCAGCTTGAGGTGGCGCACGTCGTAGTCATCGCCCCGGTAGGCGGTCACGATCTGGCGACGACCACATCATGCTGTCGAACACGGACTGGGCCTCTGTGACAGTCACACCCAGTGCTTGTCTATGGTTTGGGCCGCTGGGATGGAGAGCAACTATGTGTAAAGTACAACATATAAATGGCAAAACAACATCTTCAAGCAGCTTGAAAAAGCATGAAATTCACTTCACTGGCCTCAAACTGCATAGACAAGCCACTTCTATTAAATGAAAATACACAGTAGTACTCAAATGGGTATCATGTGGCAAATCACGCCGAAGAATCATACAGTCCTACAGGCCAAGGAATGTAAACTGTTTGGCATGGAGACAATCTGACAGAACATTTGTCCAGCATTCATTCTGTTCGAATTTGGCCCTTGAAACGGCATCACCAAACTCTGGAGAGCGCCCAGACAGCACCAGAGTGAGGCTCCCGCGTGCGGTGGCGTCCTCGCTGCCCTGCCTCGGGCCGGCACCGCCGGCGGCAGCGCGCTGCTCTCACCTGTGATCCGACCTTGCCCAGCCGGTTGACGACATAGCGGCCGAGGAAGCCGGTACCACCAAACACGGTGACCACCTGTCCGGAGAAGCTGGAGCGGCCGCCGCGGCCGCGTGGCAGGTCCGACAGCCGCGTGGTGGGCAGCACCTCGACGTCGCCGGCCGACGCCACCGACACGCCGCTCGAGGAGGCATGCCGACAGGCTGACACTGCGCCACGGCTCACTGTACAGCAGGGACAGGCAGTGCAGCACTCAGGTGGCAGACACAGAGCAGCCAGCACATAACACTTTCAAATTGGGTGTCAGAGTTGAGAAGCTATGGGCAAAGGCTGAAGGTGTGGAGAAGCACCTATATTTCATTGATAGTTTAGGGTGGTCCAAATGCGGCTTAGCATCAAATAAACAGACCTACAGTACAATAATTATTTTCCTGCTTTTTGCTATCAGCAGTATTAAATTTCAATGCCTAAAAAATGTGAAATAAAGTAAAAATGTTACCATGATCTGGAAAAGAAGAACTAGTTCTCATGAGCAATGAGCAAAATGAACATTACCCATTCTCTCTGAGCTCCTCCCCCCCCCCCCCCCACCATCATCTGAAAATCCACTGAGACCTTGTCTCTTGACTTCTTTGACACAGCCTGCATGACCCTAGCCATATTTTTTAGAACTAGGGAAATGGTCAAACCTAGTCACTTAGCTACATATCCAAAGATGCATCTTGTTAAATCACATTCTGGCCCAAAAATTATATAAACTAAGAAGATTGAGCTAATTCTTTAAATTGCTTATTTTTCTAACCTTGATACTTTTTGGCCCTGATTACCCCATGAGAGAAAGCATATTATATTTGTTCATATCTTATTATATTACATTGTATCACAGGATCATGAAAATTAAGCAATCAGTACCCACTGAGTCTTAAGCATTAACATTTACTTGTAGCAATAAAAATGCAACACATACCAAAACACATCCCCCACAGTAGCAGCAACAAAGCAGAGAAGTCTAACCTGTGCACACCATAAATCTGAGTCCTCTGAATTTGGTACACAGTCAACACAATTTTTGTATGTAGGCATTGTAGAGCACTAGTATTACAAAACATGTTTACAAATAAATTTCGAGAAATACCTGCTGCAAACCTTACAGCCAAAAAATTACAATTAAGCACCATGTGACCTGGCTAAGCTTGGTACGCATGCAGAAGGTTCGGCATGATGACATTGCACGCTTCTGGTGCAGTGGATAGGCTTCTTGAAGACTGGACATGGGCTGTGAAGGACATAAATACATACCTTCCCAGGCAAAAGAGAGCCAAAATGGCTGCAATAGGTTTATAATGTTTTCTCAGACATGTAAATGAATCCATAACCTAAAAAGGTTAATAAAATAGGCAGTCAACATCTATGCGCAAAATAGCCCGAAATAAAGGAGACATAAATGGCGCACCACGAAGCGCACCCCGGAGCAGGAGAAGACACTTCGAAACCCGATCACTGAAACCCAGCACGACAAGGAGCACAGTCATATCTTGGAACGCAAAATTGCTTACCAGTGAATACATTAGACGAATTTTTTAAGAGCGAGGCCGCCATTGCGGCGCGCTGGTTACGCCTTCCCAAAGCGCCCAGCCGGAGCAGCTGGAAGCTTTTTTCTTTGACAGTGTACCTCACAGCACACAGACCAAGGAGCACAAGCTATAAATACCGCACATTGATGTCATATGGGCTAATCGGCAGGCAACCACACAGGTGTGTACACTTTTTGCCCCATCCCCTTCCCGTTTTGATGACATTTGGAAGGTATGCTGTAACTTGAGAAATATATAAAGACGCCAATGTGTAATGCTATTTGACCGCGGCAGCAGCGCAGGCAGACGGGGGGGGGGGGGGGGGGGGGGGGGGGGGGGCACATGCTCCTCGGGACACACGGGTACGAGCCCAATTTGAGGGCGGGAACTGCCCAAACAGCCGTCCGGAAGTCGTGTTCAGGGGCACCGGCCCGCAGGGCTGGGCACTTCAACGCCACCCGGAGGGCCCTGCGCGCTGAGGCCTGCCGAGTCAATAAGGGCCTACATGTCCGTCAGACACCTGTGAGAACAATTTGCCCGGAAGTACAGAGCTGCCCACCGGAGCCGACAAATGTACCCAGCAAGGCATCGCAGCCTTGGGTAAGCCAGAGAGCCTCCGAGGATACCGGTGAGGACGGGAGGAATGCGCGTCTTACTCTGGGCTGCCGCGGCGCGATCAATGTCACAACGAAAGGTAGGTGACCCACTTGTTACCGTAAACAACTGTCGCCAAGGACGTCGCCGTCCCCGAAGCAGCCCATGCTCGCAGCCACGCCTGACCGCACCGGAAACGCAGGACTGCATCCCGCGGTATGGCCAACAGTTGCCAGGCCCAAGCATCGCTGCAACCCAACCTTGGGAGACGCGCCGCTCGGACACAGGCCTGCGGCCGGGCCGGGGTGGTCCAAACATCGCCGCAACCTGACCGTGGAAGACCCGCTGCTCGGACGCACACCTGCGGCCGAGTCGGATGACCAGCGCACCGCCACAATACCACAGGCACCGCTAAAAACAAACGGTGCAACAACTACATATAATGAACAGACAATGTAATGACTAGGTGTAAACGAATGGAGACAACATGAGTGTATTTTACGGCTAAAACAATAACAAGTCAAAACAAGATTCAGTGTTAGAAACGAGACACTTCATGTCGTGAATTAGACATCAGCACTGCTTAATGACGTACAGGATTCTCCAGGTTGACATAGTCATTGAACTCAGGGTTTTAGATAAAGTGGCTACTAGTGCACTACCGCCTGTCGTTGGTCCTGTGTGCAATTTCGCGATGCGATTGTATTTATCCTATACATGATTGTACACGAGTGTATGAACAAGGGAAACACTAGAATAATAGCATTAGACCTCCACGTGTAGGATCACACAGGCCTTTTCTAGAAGGGGCGGACCCGTTTGACCGTGACGTCACACGGTGGCCCAGTATTGACCTATACAAACGGCGGCCGTGATTGAGCGGGGAGGGCCCCTTCACCAGGCACCATGTGAGTAGGGCCGCGGCTCTGTCGCGCTGCCGGGCCGGGCGGCTTCCGTGTCGAACCTTTGCTCGACGCCTGGTCGCCGCTTCCCCCCCCCCCCCCCGACCCGGTCGTGGTGTTTCTAACTAGTCGTAATAGTCATCCCGTTTTGCTCGCCGTACGCTTCGTCCTTTGCATCTATCATTCTTGTTTCATTAAAACGTAATTAGTGTTGTCTTAACTTGTTTTGTTTTCATTCACTTATTTATGCTTTGTGAGTATATTCTGGAATATAGTTATCTCTACTCCGTCCTGTGGGCGCCTCCGCCAAATCACTCAAGCATTCAACGGGGCTGTGGGTGGCCCAGGAAAAAAGCCTACACATCAATAGCAACGCACAATCGGCCCCTTGTCGGCATAGGCTGAGGGTCCATCTCCTGAGCAGCTACAAAGCCGGGGCCAGCGATATACACTGGTTGTACCCCCTGTATTCGTCAGGTACCCACAGGGCCTAATAGAGCGTCTTGCGTTCGCAAGGGGCCCCAAGCCGACTAATGGCACCATTCGATGAGGCCCGAAGAGGGGCCTGGGCGGCTCACCGGAACCGACGACCGAAGGCTCGGTAGGAGGGCACAAGAGCCCGCAAGTATTGCGGCCCGCAGGATCGTGACCCGAAATATCAGTCAGAGAGCCTCATGCACCTTATGAAGACCCCCTGGTCCAGTGCGGGTGTCAAAGTCGGCTAGTGACCGCTGATACTGAGCAGTTGGCTCCCTGCCAGTCTGTACCCTGGGGGCCCATTTTCCAAGCAGGAGCGAGGCCGGAGGCCACGATTGCACTGGCCGGTGTCCCTGAAAAATTGATCGGGGTCGCTATGTCGGTTAGTGGCCCAAGTCGTCAAGAGCCGCGCTTGCGGGGGTCGAAGATGAGACCGAAAGGCCACTCGGGACCAAAGGTCAGGGGCCCTATTTGACTCGGCGCCCTCCCCCCCCCCCACACCCGTGGTGCCGTGACCTGAAATGTAAGTTTGAGGGCTTTTGTTAGGGCCTCCCTTTTAGGGTTTTCGACTCATATTATACAGGGCCTCGACACGGAGCCAAACAGTCGGCTCCATGTACGTCTGAGCCCTTGGGACGCACTTCCCATGTAGGTACGTGGCCGAGGTCCGTGATTCGTCATGTTCATGGTCCCTGACACGATGAAAGGCCTCTGTGTCAGTCAGGGGCCACAGTTTCTACCAGGGGTCCTATGGTGGCAAGTCGCCCCAAGTCGGCTAGGAGTCGTGTTTGAGCGCGCCGAAGAGGGACCGAAGGATTTCTCGAGACCAAAGATTAAAATTGTGTCCAAAAGGCCCGAGGCTGAAAGGTTGAAGATCCCGAAGAGCTAGCTGAGGTCTGCAGGACCCCCGTAAGGCCATGATCTCGAATGCCTGTTAGAGGGCCTCTGGCACTGATTGGGGACTCCTGGGACAGCGTGTTTCACTATTTCGATCAGAGAAATAGTGAAACACGCTGTCCCAGGAGTCCCCAATCAGTGCCAGAGGCCCTCCGTTAACAGGCACAGCCGTTACAGCAAAAACACCGAACAGTGTAGCAGTGTGCCCCGTGTCGGTCTGAGCTGCGGGGCCCATTTCCCAACAAGGGGAAAAGGCTGGGTCCACCATTTAGGCTCCTGTATCGGTACGGGGCTCACAGTGCCTAACAGAGTGTCCTGTGTTAATAAGGGGCCTTGAGCCAGGAAGAGAACATTTGCTGAACAGGGACGGGGACGGGACCCCGAATGCCAAAGGGGCTCTTGCGTTAGTCGGGACCCTCTGGCAATGAAACAAAACATGATTATCTGTGATATACGATGTGATGTGATGTGTCCCTCTAAGTGCCTCCGGACCGACCAAGGCATCCGTTCCGTGTTGCCAAAATGACTGCGGGAAGACACCCCATGGTGGGACGGAATGGCTCTTCATCCCTTGACCGTAAAAAATGATGTGCCTCCTAGTGTTCTGCTCTGGGGGTCTCTTACCCGGACAAAGTAAGGACTGTTTAATGGAATGAGTTGAAATAAGTTTGGAAGTGAAGAAGGCCAGCCTATGTTTGCCTGAGAACGTTAATTCTTTTCCAGAACCGAAAAGTGAAACAAAATGCACCAAAAGGTTTGAGCCCGCGCGTTCACAATCTCGGAAACGAGTTCAGCGATGGCCTGGGTTGTAGTTTTCTTAAAACCGAACGGCGTTGGCTACTGCAAGTAATAATGCGACGTGCACCGCATGCGTGGTAACGATCGTCGTGAAATAATGCTTCCGCATGTCTGACAAGATTTATTCGCACCGTTTAAAGAGTACACTTAGTGGAGTTTTTAACAGCTTCGATATTATCCTCTGAACAAATTCTTATTTACAGCAACCCGAAAATAAAGATTCTATATTCATTCTTCACTTTCACCACCAGATTCCATCACCTCTTCACAGTGCTGCTAAGCCCAATCTGTTCTCATCGTCAGTCTAAAAATCGCACCGGTAAAAGATACGCTCTGACTGTCTTCTATATGTGCGGTTTGATGTCTTACAATGTTCAAAGGTTGGTCTTTCAGCTACGTCATCATTTCCGTCCGCCCGTTGACTACAGCTTACTGTTAACCGCAGGGCTGACGCTGTACGGCCTATGGAAACTGTAATGCCTGGCTTCAAGGTTATCTTGCTAAAATTTACCAGCGCGCATGTTCAAAAGTACGCCACTAATTAGTATCACTAATCGAACCTTACTGAGCATTGAACAATTTTAGACAAACACGGCCTGGCCATGTCAAATTGTTGACCCATTTCGACCTACGATCTACATTTTCTGGGTTTTGCGTTCTCTGAAGGACCCGGGTAGAAATTCTCGCGAAGCTTCTGAGTTCCAACAGTTTAGAAAGAGTCTGCTGGAACATTGTAAAATGAAATCGGCTGGCGATACATTGCGTGTGTCGTTGTTTAACGCATGATTTTTCCTTTTGTTTGTTGACTATGAAATTCAGATAGAACTGATCCTCTTACCTGTTATTGATCTCCTGGGTTCTGGCTTCTGCTCCAACTATGGAAGGCAAAAATGAAAAGATAACAAAGAAAGACAGGCCCTCACTAACACGCTGGCCTATCCGGCGATCCTTCTTTCATTTTGTTTCTTGACTATAAAATTCAGGTAGAATTGATCTCATTACCTGCCATTGATCTCCTGGGCTCTGGCTTCTGTCCCAACTATCGAAGGCAGAAATGAAAAAATAACAAAGAAAGACAAGCCCTTACTAACACGCTGGCGTATCCGGCGATCTTTTTTGACCGGCGTTAATTTTCCAGGGCACTCCTTGGGTCCCCCCCCCCTTAGGCTCTAGCCGCGCCCCTGGATCGCAGACATCAAAATTACGTGTGATGACAGCTCACTGGTCGTAAGCCGGGGACGGCGACAGGTACTAATTATTAGTTTTCACATGAGGGATCATGTACGACGAGTAATGCCAAACGAGAAATACTCCGTTTTCTGTGCGGAGCAAATGCAACCAAGAGAGAGATAGGAGAGAGAGAGAGAGAGAGAGAGAGAGAGAGAGAGAGAGAGAGAGAGAGAGAGAGAGAGAGAGAGAGAGAGAGAGAGAGAGAGAGAGAGAGAGAGAGAGAGAGAGAGAGAGAGAGAAGGAGAGAGGAGAGAGAGAGGAGAGAGAGAGAGAGAGGAGAGAGAGAGAGAAGGAGAGAGAGAGAGAGAGAGAGAGAGAGAGAGAGAGAAGAGAGGAGAGAGAGAGAGAGAGAGAGAGAGAGAAGAGAGAGAGAGAGAATCTCTGCCCCTTTGCGTCACATTTTTTATTACATCATTGAATGATATATATATATATAATATATATATATATATATATATATATATATATATATATTTGTATTATATTATTTTATAATATCATCAATTTCATGTATTTCAAATACAGTCAGCTGGCACACGATGTGATTTTCCAACATTGCCGAGCTGCGTCCGTGTGAGTGCGTGCTGGGCGGCGCCAGTGGAACCAGCTTGTGTGTAAGCTGCAAGAAAACAGCAAGCTATTGATCGACGGTCATGAATGGTGTGCAAATGTCAAAGCATCGGCGCAAATTGCGTATGACTCAGTGCAGCCCACCATCATCGCGTACGACTCAGTGCAGCCCACCATCAATACAGCGCATGTTAAGTAGAATCCCAACGAGTTTGCTGTCGACGTTGGCGTGCAACTCGAGATCCGCTGGATGGGGGTCTGGTGCACGTCGATGGCTCTACCATCGACGCAATTTACACGAGGCACGTTGTCGTCCGGGCCGGTGGCCACTGAAAACTTTTTTGACTACGTTTATGGGTAGTATCGAAGCAGTGGAACCATTAGTTCCTCATTTGGACTAGATTTTGACCGGCTTCGGACATCATCGGTCACCGGCTTGACCAACTGTGCTAGCATTGAAAGACCTCAAAGTAACATTCTGACTACGTCATTACTTCATTCGAACTACCTTGTCACCACCCTTGACCATGTGCGAACCACCCCGAGTCATATGTCGACCACTCCCTGATTACCTCCATCTCGCTGCCGAACTATCCCTGAACAAAATTTATCCTAAACAGACCAGCTCCTGAGCTTCTTTATGTATCATTGACTTTGTCTGGGATTTCCGATGTTGATGCCACCAGCCATGTTACACATTAGAGCTGTCACTTTTGTTAGATTTGGAAAATACACCGGCATACCGCTCATGCACGCGTGCTGCAGCTTCTCGACAGCTGCTCACTGGCGGCTTCCGAAACCGTACCCACAGAAATCATGCGTAGTCAGACAGGTGCCCGATGATCTGTTCCTGCGTGCCCATGTGCAACAAATGGAACACTAGGAATGACCTATCTTATCAAGCATGTGTTACCCCATCAACCACATCTCCATGCTGGGATGTATCATCCTGAGGGCCACAGAGCATGATAATCCACAGAGCGTGTTATTTCCCTGACCTGTGCTATCGGAATGCACCCGATCATGATCAGGTCCGTGAATGGGCCTTATTTGCTAGAATTGGAACAGGAATCGGCTCACAGCTGTTCTGCGGTACACGGGGTCAAAAGATAAGTGCAAGGCCCTGCGGTGTGGATCGAAATCCATCCCGCCAGCGCTCAATCAAGCACAGGAATCGACTCACAGCTGTTGTGCGGTACACGGGGTCAGAAGACAAGTGCAAGGCCCTGGGGTGTGGATCGAAATCAATCCCGCCAGCGCGCAATCAAGCACAGGTTTGCGCGTCGTTGGGAGAGCACTTGCTATGGCATTGAAGCCGTCCCAGCAATGTGGATCAGCTCCCTCCCTCACACACATACACACATGCAACGCGACTCGTTCGGTGGTCCTGTGACGCGATGAGAAAGAGTTGGCAAACGGAGGCGTATAGGAGTAAAAAGCTTCAACCTTTGACATATCTTGGACGAAATTTTAGTCCAGCTTACTGAGAATATTGCGCTTATTATTTGTTGACGTCTGAACGTAACATAGCGGTATGTTTGCAGCCTGGCAGTTCCGGATGTCGACGACTGTGGTACATCCGGTGCCACTGAGAGTGCTGCGATAATCGGAGCGAGCTCGGGCTCAAAGACCCACTCAGTTTTCTCTCGGTGAACACAGTGTCTTTCAGGGCACCAGCCACCGTGGCTAAGGATGACATTATAACGACAACCTGAGAACATGGCTTCGGAAGGTGGAAGAGAAGTCCGCAAGGTGAGTCTGATGAAAACGGACCTTTTAGTCTCGAGCCGGATCAATTCCAGATTGGTTTCTGGTAGCCTCACTGCAAAAGGTGCTCAGTGGGGCGTCGTCTTACCGCTCCTAGCAGACCGAGCTGCACCTCGATGTTTGACTATTAAGTCATTTTTGTTCCTATCTGTAGGTATGGATAACAACAGCTCAGTGCCCTTCGAGACCCGTATAGGCTGAACTATGACTCTGAATGAACAATGTAGTCGAGATGCGGCAATACCATTTTTTTCATTGGTTCTCGATTTTTAAAACGCTAAATGGATTTTAAAAAAAAACTCCAACCGGCTGATTTTGATTCACATTTGGTCATACACCTTCGGTTCGAGACACCACATTTCGGTTCCTTCTTATGCTCCTTGTTCCATGTTTTTTCCTTACTCACCTTCAACATGTATTACAAAATAACACTTTCGATTCGCCCAGAAAACCGAGCGCAGTACACTTTAGCAAACCACAACATCAACGAATGAACACGTGACATTAACGCCACCTCAGTAGGTCGCGCCAGACAGCTGGCGGGCTCCAGGGCGTGCCGTACGGACCCGTTCCGCCGCCGTCGAGCCTCCAGGCCTGGTCTCGGTCACCTGGTGAGCCCCCGGGCGTGCCGTACGGACCCGTTCCGCCGCTGTCGAGCCCCCAGGCTCGGTCTTGGTCACCTGGTGAGCTCTAGGGCGGTGCCGTACGGACCCCGTTCCGCCGCGTCGAGCCCCAGGCCTGGTCTCGGTCACCTGGTGAGCCCCCTGGCTTGCCGGACGGACCGCCGTTCGTCGCCGTCGAGAACTCCATGCCTGGCTCGGATCACCTGTTGAGCCCTCGGGCGTGCCGTACGGACCCGTTCCGCCGGGTTCCCCCCGCTGTCGATCTCCAGGCCTTGTTCTCGGTCACCTGGTGAGAGCCCTCGGGCGTGCCGTACGACCCGTTCCACCGCGCGCCTCGAGTCGAGAGCGCGCCATTCTCGGTCTTGGTCACACTGGGTGAGCTCTAGGGCGTGCCGTACGGACCCGTTCCGTCCTCCGCCGTCGAGCCCCCAGGCTCGGTTTGGTCACCTGGTGAGCTCTAGGGCGTGCCGTACGGACCCGTTCCGCCGCCGCCGTCGAGCCCCCAGGCTCGGTCTTGGTCACCTGTGAGCTCTAGGGCGTGCCGTACGGACCCTTCCGTCCGCCGCCGTCGAGCCCCCAGGCTCGGTCTTGGTCACCTGGTGAGCTCTAGGGCGTGCCGTACGGACCCTTTCCCACCGCCGTCCGAGCCCCCAGGCTCGGTCTTGGTCACCTGGTGCTCTAGGGCGTGCCGTACGACCCGTTTTTCCGCCGCCGTCGAGCCCCCAGGCTCGGTCTTGGTCACCTGGTGAGCCCCCGGGCGTGCCGTACGGACCCGTTCCGCCGCCGTCGAGCCCCCAGGCTCGGTCTTGGTCACCTGGTGAGCTCTAGGGCGTGCCGTACGGACCCGTTCCACCGCCGTCGAGCCCCCAGGCTCGGTCTTGGTCACCTGGTGAGCTCTAGGGCGTGCCGTACGGACCCGTTCCGCCGCCGTCGAGCCCCCAGGCTCGGTCTTGGTCACCTGGTGAGCTCTAGGGCGTGCCGTACGGACCCGTTCCAATTCCACACCACCGCCGTCGAGCCCCCAGGCTCGGTCTTGGTCACCTGGTGAGCTCTAGGGCGTGCCGTACGGACCCGTTCCGCCGCCGTCGAGCCCCCAGGCCTGGTCTCGGTCACCTGGTGAGCTCTAGGGCGTGCCGTACGGACCCGTTCCGCCGCCGTCGAGCCCCCAGGCCTGGTCTCGGTCACCTGGTGAGCTCTAGGGCGTGCCGTACGGACCCGTTCCGCCGCCGTCGAGCCCCCAGGCTCGGTCTTGGTCACCTGGTGAGCTCTAGGGCGTGCCGTACGGACCCGTTCCGCCGCCGTCGAGCCCCCAGGCTCGGTCTTGGTCACCTGGTGAGCTCTAGGGCGTGCCGTACGGACCCGTTCCGCCGCCGTCGAGCCCCCAGGCCTGGTCTCGGTCACCTGGTGAGCTCTAGGGCGTGCCGTACGGACCCGTTTCCGCCGCCGTCGAGTCCCCAGGCTCGGTCTCGGTCACCTGGTGAGCCCCCGGGCGTGCCGTACGGACCCGTTCCGCCGCCGCGAGCCCCCAGGCTCGGTCTTGGTCACCTGGTTGAGCTCTGGGCTGCCGTACGGACCCGTTCCGCCGCCGTCGAGCCCCCAGGCTCGGTCTTGGTCACCTGGTGAGCCCTCGGGCGTGCCGTACGGACCCGTTCCGCCGCCGTCGAGCCCCCAGGCTCGGTCTTGGTCACCTGGTGAGCTCGGGGGCGTCCGTACGGACCCGTTCCCCGCCGTCGAGCCCCCAGGCTCGGTCTTGGTCACCTGGTGAGCTCTAGGGCGTGCCGTACGGACCCGTTCCGCCGCCGCCGAGCCCCCAGGCTCGGTCTTGGTCACCTGGTGAGCTCTAGGCGTGGCCGTACGGACCCGTTCCGCCGCTCGCCTCCCCAGGCCGGTCTTGTCACCTGGTGAGCTCTAGGGCGTGCCGTACGGACCCGTTCCGCCGCCGTCGAGCCTGCTGCGCTCTGAGTCCAGCCGCTGAGCGCGCATCTGACGGCGCCCCGCCTCCACCACCGCCAACAGCAGCAGGTAGAGCGGGGCGGCCAGCAGGCAGAGCAGGGCTGAGCCGACCAGCGGCGGCAGCAGGCTGCGTCCGCGGTCGGCCGCCGCCAACAGGGCCACCCGGCGCAGGCAGACGCAGGCCACGGCCAGGCAGAACGGCAGGTAGAAGCCGCCCCAAACCAGGAACGGCACCGAGAGTTGTGGCCGCCGCTGCAGATGCCATAAGCAAGCAGAGCGTCAGCCGGGGCAGGCGAGGCAGCCGTCGCATGTTAGCCAAGACGGGTCAGATAGTTAGCAGCCGTCAGCTGCTGACGATCAGGTGCTGCGATAGTCAGCTGTCAGCCGACACACGCGCAATGGTATGAGCAGGGACAATCAGACGTGCAAGGATCTACTAGGTTAACTGCGCATTTTTTACCACTACTCACAAGAGCGATGGCACAGAAAGCTGGGAAGCTCTACATAGTCCCAGGTGCCGCGGGTTTTTACGGCTTAAATGGGCAGATAGAACAAAAGAGCATGAATTTTCATCACTAGAACAAACGCTTATTTTTGTAAAACCGACAGCTAGTGCACCTGCACTGGACAGCATCACTAAGCTACAGAGCCTACCTTCTTAACGGCAACAACCAACAGAAGGGCGACCACCAGCCAGCCCGAGTTCACAACCAGAGCCACCGTCTCGATGATGTGCATCTCTGCCAACAGAAAAACGCTCGTTTCGGCCCTACCGAACACCCGGCATTACAGTCCACATTGCAGTCCATCAGTTGGTGGTGCATGCCGGCAGTCATCTATATGACGCATGGCGCGCGGGGACATTTAGGCCGCGGCTGAAATATTAATTCACGTGAAGCAGGCGGCGTCGCGGTCCGCTAAGGGCTACATGTTCTTTTCATTTATTTACCTATTGGGAGTACGGCGCGCTATGTTGCTTTTTGGTCGGGTACGCATTCTGAACATGTGCGCTGAAAAAATAATACTAGGTGGTTGTTTAATTAGGCCGATATGTTTCAAATGGATGGAAATCGGTTCGGTCACTCGCACTCGACACGCATCGACAGACTGGGCGCCCGGGCCTAGTCAGCAGCCACCGGTTTTCAACAACACAATCCCGACTGGGAAATCGTCAACCCTTCATTTTTTTCTGATCCTCGGCCCTTTCCTCCTTTCGAGATAACATTGCGTTAAATTGAGCGCAACTCAGATGTCCTAACCGGATATTTTGAGTCGCATGCTCGCTCATTCTGCGAAGGACGACATGGTCCTTGAGTTCTAATCAGAGCCAAAACGGATGAGATGTTTTGTTAACCGCAGCGTTTTCTTGCTTAGACTTTTTACTGATAACGAAGAAGAAAGCCACCCCCACGACATAGGCAACACATGAGGCCGAAGTTTGAATGTATCAGTCCTTACGGAAGTTAGTGAGTTGGCTGTTGGTCGATCTCGCCGCGACTCGAAGAAGAGGTGGGGGTACATTCTCTACATGTCGCTGGCTGCTGTTGAGTGTGGCGATATCACATGCGTGGTGGTGCTGTTGATTAATTCCCGACATACGGAACACTATTCTCGCTTCTTGGCTGCCTTTCCGCGACTTCCGAAAGGTTATGGGCGAAAAACTGTCGGGCTATTGGTGTACAGTGCTACATATCACGAAAGTAGCGCAATTCTATTTGCTCAATGCTTCCGTTGCTGGATTAAGCGCACCACAGAGG